ATAATCTTAGGTGTTAAAATCACAAGAAATGAGAATGGTATCTTACTTTCTCAGGAACATTATGTCGAGAAAATACTGAGAAAGTTTGAGCATTATGATGAAACTCCTTTGAGTACCCCTTATGATGCTAGTGTGCATCTAAAGAAGCATAAAGGAGATCCGATTGCTCAATCTAAGTATGCACAGATTATTGGGAGTCTATTGCATTTAATGAATTATTCCAAGCCAGACATAGCATATGCTGTGTGCAGATTGAGCAGATATATTCACTGTCCAGGCAGTGAACATTGGGAAGCTCTGAAGAGATTATTACGATATCTGAAGGGTACCATGAATTATGGTATACTATATAGTGGATTTCCCGCTGTATTAGAAGGATACAGTGATGCTAATTGGATATCAGATTCAGACGAGACAAAGTCCACTAGCGGTTATGTTTTTACATTTGGTGGTGGAGCTATCACTTGGAAGTCAGCCAAACAAAGCATCATAACTCGATCTTCAAGGGATTTTGAGTTAGTTGCTATGGAATTGGCTGGTACAGAGGCTGAGTGGTTGAAAAACTTCTTAGCAAATATTCCATTGGGAGACAAGCCAACACCATCAATATCATTACACTGCGATAACCAGGCAGCAATAGCCACAGCCAAAAATAAAACATTTAATGGTAAAAGTAGACACATTCGATTGAGACACAATATTTTAAGGCAGCTGCTAAAGGACGAGGTGATCTCAATCGATTTTGTGAGGTCAGAAATGAACCTAGCAGATCCGTTAACAAAACCCCTAGGGGGGAAACAAATTATTGAGACATCAAGGGGAATGGGACTGAGGCCAGTTCGAAATTAACAAAAGATGGCAATCCAACCTTTGTGATTGGTGATCCCATGAAGAAGGTTTAATGGGTAAAAACAAGTCGTCTGTTAGTTCTGCTAGCACTAAATAAAATACCAAGTCCCTTCCTAGGATGTATGAGAAAGTGCTAGACTGCATGTTGGTGAGGTTGAGCAAAGCTCTTAATGATTTCATAATTCCACTGGATGGTGTATACAGTGCAGGTACACTTAAATGAAATCACCTCTACGAATGTGGAGTGGGGCCGCTCCTATAAGATCATGGCAAAATCTTTAGAGCATTCGTTATGCACCAGGCATGCGCACGGCTGTTATAATGCGCAAAACCGCCGTTAACAGTGAAAATGTGGGGGTATAATCTAACTCTTAATGCCTCTAGTACACACCAAAGAGATGACAATTCATAGAAGCAGGCTTCACTGGCATCTCTGTGTGCTAAGTGTTATTGGTCTAGATCTAGTTCATAGTCGAAAGGACCACTAGATACAATGGTTATACCCATGTGTGTAATCCTGGTTCTTTATTTGACACATGTAGGGGATTGTTGTGAAAATTACATGAGTGTGTGTCAAATAAAGTCCCACGTTGGAAAGATGAGAGGAAGACCAAATGTATATAAGAGATCAAACATCCTTAGGGAGGTAAATGGGCCAAGAGGAAAGTGGGCCTCACGCACATAACAACGAGCCACCGGGAAGGAAACGCAGTTGAAAACTGACGATTTCCCCCTGAGGGTGAATTAGACGCGGTAACACCTCATTTTACGAAAATTAGTTTAAACTTTTGCTAAATTTATTTTATAAATTATATGCTTACTAGAAAAGTCTTATTTTTGGACTTATCAAAATTGAAGTGTTACCGTCTAGTTTTTTGTGGCCGACCGGACGCGTCTTATGGGGTGTGACCGGACATTGTGTGCACCAACGTTCGTGTTGTTCCGTCTCCAACGAAACCTTGCGTCGTTTCCATCGTACCCATTCGACGAAATAGAGGGACGCGTCTTCCAGTGATGTGGCCATTTGCATCTATATAAAGGATGGTTCAGAAAGCGTGAGTGCAATCTGCGCTCGTCTTCTTCCTCTCCTCTGCTCCCTGCATTACAGACTCTTTTGTTGTTCTGCCACCTTGCTTCGCAAGAAGGATTCGTTTAATCCTGGGGAGTGCCGCTTCCTGTGATACTGAGAGGTTGCGGAATATCTCTCAAGGACAATGTCCTTGCGACGCGACTCGAACCAAATTTTGTTGTTTTTTCCTTTGCTGCCGCCAACAGCATTCGTGTTAAAACTCATTGGGACAGCTACTGTTCAAAGTGGTCATACAAAACTCGATACGAATTAGTTGGTTGCTTAGATATCAAGTAATAGAATCTAGAAAAAGCGTGGATATCGAGTGGTCCAAGGGGTTATAAAAAAAGATTTAGTGGTTAGTTATGAATTTGATATTTTATATATTATAATATATAATTTATACATCTGTTTATGTTTGGTCATCCAAATAACTTTTAGAGTGAATGATAACAATAATAACAGGAGACAAACGCCCCCACGCCAAAACAAGGAGGATGATAATGAGCATGACAATATGGTGCCAGGGATCTGCATGCCTAATAACGACAACGCTTTCCATTCAAAGATAGTGACGTTAGACAACGACAACTTTAATTCATAAATAATGTATTCAAACGGGCCGAAGAATTCTTTCAAAAAACTTCGGCCAACGTATTACTAGCTTAATACTACCTTTGATCTTAATTATAAGAATTAGTTGATTAATTTAAAAAAATCAAAAAAAAATTAATTTATTTATTTATAATAAATAGGTATTATTTTTTCTAAAATATCTTTGTTAATTAAGTATATTAGCTAGAACTATCACTATTAGAAGGACTATATCGAAAAAAGTACATAAATATTAGAGACAAAGTGGATTAGAGTCTCATATTTAAAACCAGAATAAAAGTCAAATAAGGTCTTATACTAAAGACCGGAGGTAGTATAAAACTTTATTTGATTTTTATTTTGATCCTAAATATAAGATCTTAATTCACTTTATTTTTCATATTTATGTATTTTTTTCTCAAGGTAGTCTTTCTAGCAATAGTAATTCTAGCTAATACACTTGATTAGTAAGGATATTTTAGAAAATACAGCACCTATTTATTACAAATAACTAACTTAACTTCTTTCCTTAATCTTTTCAAATTAGTCAACTAGCTCTTATAATTAGGACGGTGGTAGTATAAAAGTTATTTGACTAATTTGATTAGATTAAGAAAACAAATTAAGTTAGTTATTTGTAATAAATAGGTGTTGTATTTCCTAAAATATCCTTACTAATTAAGTTTATTAGTTAGAACTACCATTATTAGAATGACTATTTGGAAAAAATGAATAAATATGAGATACAAAGTGAATTGGGGTCTTATATTTAGAACCAAAATAAAAATCAAACGAGGTCTTATATTAAGAATCAAAAGTAGTATATTGAATTTTTAAAAAAAAGTTAAAGGATTAAACTAATTTTTTCAGTCTATATTTTTTAGGAGTTTTGATTTTTGTCTTTATATACTACTTCCAATTCTTAATATAAGAGCTAGTTGACTAATTTAAGTAGATTAAAAAAATTTGTTAAGTTAGTTATTGTAATAATTAGATGATGTCTTTCCTAAAATACTCTTACTAATCATGTATTAGCTAAAACTACCATTTGATTAAACTTTTAACACAGGCAACTATTATAAGGATTACATGAGAAAAAATAGAAAAATATGATAGAAAAATCAGATTGGGGTCTTATATTTAGAACCAAAATAAAAATCAAACTAGTTTTTATATTAAGGATCGGAAGTAGCATTTTTTTGTTACTTTTCTTCATAATACTTCATACTGTCCAAAACATTGGTGCTAATTATAGTTTTGCAAGAATTTGAATCTGAGTTTGACGGAGTTAACTTTGTTGATGTAACTTTAACGTTATTAGTTAGGCTAGTGTAACCTGCTGATTAAAATTAATGGTTATGTTTATGGTTATGGTGTTCATGAATATATATATATATATATATATATATATGAATGTAGCAGGAAATTTCGAATGGGAAGAGGGTTAGAGCCTTGCTGACATGTTTTTCAATAAATTTGATGGGCAACAATATTCTAAAATTTAAATTATCTAAAAACATGCAGATAAATTATTGTAAACCAAAAGGCCGAAAAACTTTGGCCAAAAAAAAAAAAGGCCGAAAAACCACGGAAGGATCCAGAACTTATTAAGGAGTGGGGCCCAAGTGTTTTCCTTTGTCCAACACGAGAGGGCTAAACTTAATTGAGACAACTTTTAGAACCATAATCTCCAAATTCAAATTCGCAGCCTTTTTTTAGATTTTTGGAGAAGGAAAGAAAACATGGGGGCCACCCCCTGAAAAAAAATCCATTCCTGGCAAAAATTAATACGCCCCCAGCATTTGATTTAATAAAAAGTTGTATCAGGAACTAAAATTCTAATTCTAACTATTAAAAATGATTAGGGTTTTATATCTCAATGACATCAAACACATGCCTTAAATTTTTTTTTTAAGGCAAGGTTGTGAGTTTAAACCTTTAATAAAGGTATAACGAGTGTGTGAATAAAAAAATAAAATAAAATGCACTATTTAAATTTTTTTTTTTGAAATTCATATCAGTATCTATCAGTCAACATAATGAAATATCACTTCCTGTTATTAATATAGATTTCAATAACTAATTTAAAAATATTAAAAAATTTATTTAAGCTAATTATTTATAATAAATATAAATTTTTCCAAGCTGTCCTTTCTAATTATTTACATTGAAACTACATCTTGATAAGGAATTCTTAATATGTGTAATTAATGGAGTTTTGGACAAAATCTATATATTTATGAGACAAAAATAAATTAATTCCTTATATCTAAAACTAAATTTAATACTCCTGAATTAGCTATTAAGTTAAATATATGTAAAATTTATAATAAGATAGAGGAATGTAACTAATTTTTTAAATCTTTTAGTGGGCCTGAGGAATGAGATTATGGGCCGAGAACTAGTTCAGGCCCGGTCCATATAGAGGACCACTTTGTGCCTTATGCTTCGTCCTTGGCCCCTCCCCCGGCTGCAGTTCGTGTGGTTTGCATATTCAGAAGCCTGCAGAGAGGTTAGGGTTCTGAAGTTCATCAATTTGTGTTCACGGCAATGGAAGCCATCACGGAGGGTGTAAACAACATCAATATTTCAGATTCGTACAAAAAGAATCGTATCCAAGTCTCTAATACCAAAAAGCCCCTCTTCTTCTACGTTAATTTGGCGAAGGTTAGCTGCGCATCTTCAGCTTTTGTCGGTACTTTTTATTTTTATTTTATTTTCAGGAGGGTTAAAAATGGTGTTATTTTTTCTGGAAGTTTCCTTTCCTCCAAATCGTAGTTCGACTGTCGAGATTTAGTATCTTTCAATCTTGGTGGTTGGATGAAGGATAAACGCTCAATTATCTTCCTTCTTAAAAGAGCTGTGTTTAAAGCAATTTATCATTTTGTTCGGAAACATTGAACGCTTTTGTATTGTTAAGTCATTTATTGGATACATTGGCTTTCTTTAGCTGGGCTGTAACTTCTTTTTCATTGCAGAGGTATATGCAACAACACAATGAGGTCGAGTTGTCAGCACTTGGAATGGGTATCAAATCTTAACTAAATGATTCTTTTTATATTCTTTTGGCCACCGTTCGCTCTTTCTGTTTTTTCCTTTTCTATTTTGCTGCACGTCACCTTTTGGAGCATTAGTATTGGAAGTCATTGCCAATGGCTTTGTAGGCCAGTGGATGAAAGCTTACAAGTAGGAATTTGAGGGTTCAATCTCGCTTATAACCAACCTCAGCCATTAGTGTCTGCCCCTCTAAATTGGGGGGGGGGGGGGAGAATTAGAAGTCATAAGATGTTTGTGCTGAATGCGGATGTTGAGAATATTGGGAATACGTCGTTAGTAATATGAATATGTCCTTTTAAGTGATCAAAGCATGTTACTTACAGATTCAGAATATGGCTAGTACGCTTTGATTGATAAGTATATATCAGATCTTAGGAAGGAAGAAGTGGAGAACTTGCTAAGGTGTTTCCCTCTTCCCATTCCTTCTTCACTTGGCTTATTGATCAAATTTTAAAATAATGACTTTAAAAGCTGCTCCGTTTAATGAAATTATTTTAGAATGTAGACTTAGCATGCGTGTCTGGGCTTTGAAGGAAATGAAAACAGATGGATGTGTGACGGGAACAAGAATGCCAGCTCAACAGTAAATTTGTAATTGCTAATTGGGACTATGTTCAAATGTTTAAGGGCTGGTGGAGTAAAGCTGACATTACCGTACAAGTATTTGATGTTTCTAAATGTGAAAAAGTTTATTCTTGAAATGGCATTGGATGTGAAGAAAATTTAATGATTAGTACTGCTGGAAATATTGTAAATTTATTGCGTATGTAATGTGAAAGAAAAATCGTTTTGCTTAAAATCAACTTTTAAAAAGATGATGAATTCATGAAGTAGTGTTTTGCCTATATGGCATTATGGCTCTTTTGGGGAAAAAAACGACAAGGAAAAGAAAATGGAGCAAATGAAAGTCGATATTGAATCTAGGGTGAGAGTCTAGACCCTAGACATGATTAACACTGATTGTTTTCATTTCCTCCTTGTTATCCTTATTTTGTTTGGTGGGCTCTATCATCCTTATATTGTTTTACACGCTCTCTATATTGAGTTGCAGATAAGTAAAGGGAATTAGATTTGAGTATCCTGTCATATGCCTATTTAAGCTCAAGGCTGAAGCTCACTAGGCCTAATGTTTTTAATTATATATCTGCTTCCTTCCTCCTGTTTATTCAGACGGTTCATTTGCTTCCTAGGGGCAGTAAAACAACATTGCAAAAATGAGATGTGTTTTTTTTCCCCCTTTCTGGCATTATCTTTGTCCCCAGCATCCCTATGTCTCAAGATGTTTTCTAATTTATTTTTTGCTTTTTATTTTCAGCTATTGCCACAGTGGTTACTGTTGCTGAAATTTTGAAAAACAACGGGCTTGCTGTTGAAAAGAGTAAGGGACTATCTTTTTCACCTCCTTATTTGGGAAATTTTACTCTCATTCCTCTCTCATTTTGATCAGCCTCATGGGAAAGGGTTGGGAAAATGAATTTGACTCGTGAATGAATCATAATGCAGAAATCATGACATCAACTGTTGACATAAAGGATGATTCTAGAGGCAGACCCGTCCAGAAGGCCAAGGTAAGGATGGAAACACAAGTTGCTGTCCCCAGAACATATCCTTTTGGGATGTCCTAGTCGTCCTGATTGAATAGTCTTGGGTTTTGTATCAAAGTCTGACATTTACTGTAACTTGTTATAGATTGAAATATTACTTGGGAAGACCGAAAACTTTGATGAATTGATGGCCGCCGCGGCTGCTGAAGATGGTGAAAATGGAGAGATTGAGGAGCAGGGCGCATGAAGAGGGTTAAACGCTCCCCTGAATCTGGTGAAGATATGTTGTGTGATGACTTGCATTTTTGTTCTTAGGATGTAGTAGCTAACCATAGAATTCATTTCAGACTAGCCTGGAACATTTAGTTCCAAATCTCTCTCTCTCTCTCTCTCTCTCTCTCTCTCTCTGTTCTTTTTTCCTTTTTACCCCTAGAAAAGGTTTTTGTGTTCTCTATCCTTCATTCCTCTTGCTGTCTGTTGAGATCACTTTTTCATTATTCATAGCGAGGATGCGTTGTTGTGTTTTTAAGAAGTGATGACACTTGGCTTTCAGCAAATATCAGCTCTCATTTTGCCAATTGTAGTCAGTCTTCTGACATCTGGTGATAACAGCTCCGAAGCCGTGAAAAGGTGTCGAATTAGTTCAATGATTGCTCTCAGTCCTTCTCGTAAGAATTTTCCTAATATAACATTTTATAATATATTTTGTTGAAATTGTTAATTTTTAATTTAGTATACCTAAACCAACTATAAAACTTCCAGTAATTAATCAGACTTTTCTAACTAATGATTTTTATTGAACTTTCTCGATTCATAGTAGTTAAACAATTTGTCCTTATAAAAAGACTTTGAGAGTATTATTTAAATCATCAAATGCCTTTATATGTATATCTGTGTATATATGTGGTTGTAAAATTTAAAATTTGTACCATCGTTTTTAGTCACTAGGAATTATTATTCTTAAGTCAAATCCCGTAGACGTTAAAACACGGCAGAGCATACCAGTTGTTAAGTTTGTTGCTAGTATTAAGTCAAAGATAAAGAAGAAAGAATAATGCTCGGACTCGTAACAGATACTGTAATTCGGTTTTAAGGATGACACTTGGTTGCATGTGATGATATGATGCATTCCCTTTATGGAAAATCATTTTGTTTTATTATTTTTTCAATTGAAATGTTAAACATACAAAATTAAAGTGAGTTGTACTTTCTATTTATCGATATCCATTAATGTGCGATAGCCCACATGAAGGCTAACAGAAAGTGAAATACTAACGTCAGTGGCTAGTTAATACATTCATTGACTTCCTTATAAATGGCATGTGAAAATAATATTCCAATTTCTTACTAACATGATTAATTTTGTTGAAAAGACCCTTGTTAGATGGCTAATGATACTCTCTATGATCTAATGATCATACTTAGAACCTGCTTCGCCAAAAAAAAAAAAAATGTGAGCCTGCATCAATATATAATATAAAATATATGAATGCAAGTTATAAAATGAATCATTTATTAAATTATTTTACACAATATATGACATTGACATACATTTGGAATTATCACCTCAACAGGGTGGATTTCTTCGATGAGTATAAGCTGAAAACATCACTTGCTTTTATCATGAGCCTTAAAAAAATTTCGTTCACATCTCTTCTCAAATCTGCGAAGATCAAAGGAGATATATTTCACAAATATGAATAAACAAATAAGATATTATGTAATCCTTTTTCTATATCCAGAAATGATATAAAATTATTAGGGCTTTGAATCCAAGCTCAAAACCAACATGCACCCGAACAGAGTCAATTCACAAAGAAGGGAAGAGATGCCAAGTGACACAAGCACCTGGTCAAACTAATCAAGACAATAACAAAATGTCTCGTGTACTTTAATCCAAGGTCTTCATCTGTAGCCACAGCAATATCCTCCAAGGTGTCCAAACGACAAGAAGGTGGGCGTTCATTTTATTTATTATTATTTTTTTTTTTTGCAGTTCTTTGTGAACCTTTGTATTGACCCCACCATAGAAAACATCAACTGTGGCAAACCTGGAAAAAACGCACAACCCTTCAGGGCAAACTCATTGTGCCAGGCTACTACTACCAGCAAACCAATTCCAATGTACTTCGTCAAATAGAGACATACCTGATAACTTGTTCACTTCGGTAGCAAAGAAAGAGGCACAGCTTGGCCAGGAACAGGATCAATTTGCTGAAGTGTCGAAGAAAAGGAAAAAAACACAGTTTTTCCCACATCAGATTTTGCTTGGCAAAGGAAATGCGTTCCCTAGATAACTTGAGGGCTGCAATCTTGTTGCATTGACAAAGTCGTAGTGGACATTTAAGCATATATGACCTTCCTGGATCCTTCTAACGGAAAGTTTACAAACCAATTTTCGTGACGTAATCATGATATGGTAGTGGTGATTATCTGAGAAAATAAAAATAAATAAAGACAAATGATGAATTTTAATCCTGATATGGAAATTTAAATATAGAAGAATTGAGCAAATAAGTGACAGACAAACAAGGGTTATGTTCAATGTCAACCTCGATAATCAGTGTAATTATTCTCTAGAAGGGCAAAACTGGTAAAGGGAATGAAGCAGACTAATTTAGTATGTATATGAATAAACTACCTGCACAAGACAAAACAGATTTAATATTTCTTTGCTGTTGCTGGCAGCTTTCTTGGTGTTTTGAATTATTGGAGAACAAACAATGTCAAAAACCTGTCAGTCCATCAAAGGTATGTTCGTCAAATGTTTATCAACTGGGATTATTGGCACAATCTCTGATAGAGTACCATCATCAAGTATATGAGGATCCTGAAAGGGCCATATTTCTCAATTTCCTGAAGCAAATGGAAACCTCATCAAATACAATCACGTCCATTATTCTGCCAAGGAAACTGATTTCTTTCGTTCATAAAATACCCTCGCTCCCTATGACATTATAACCTTGAGATGTATTGGCTTTGTTGATCAGAAAACCTTGAATCTTCAACCAACGCCTGCAAAATATATGAAGCCTCTGAAACCCTTTGGTATAGAAATTTGTCTAATTCCAGAGAGTACTCAACAGCTGTTCGGAGATCAATCTTTTCTAGATCACAGGATATAATACCCCTCCATTCATTTGACCTACCTTGTACGCCTAAGCCATGCAGTAGAGCAGCGAAAATTACAGAATCCCAAAGGAATCCCTTAGCCAGCATCTTGTTTTGCAATGATAGAGCAGTATCAATCATTCCATGTTTACAAAGACAAATAATTATAGAATTATAAGCAGCAGCAATTCGGTTCCATCCATCAGAAATCATCCTTGCAAAGAAATGCAAAATCAAGGACTTGACATTATCATTAGACTCATCTTCATTAAAACTTGCTCTAATTGTATTATTTGTTAAACAATTTATCAGATAATGGAATGTGGCATCACTAGGAAGACACCTGTTCAACAGCATTAGTTCAAAATAGGACGTTGCTTTTGCAATTTTACCAACCTTGCAAAAACCCCCAATTAGTATGGTGTATGTGACCACATTAGGTTCTAAATTAAAAGAGTTCATGCCTCTGAAAGCATTTTCAGCTCTGCTCAAATCTGCCTTCCTGCAGAATCCGTTGATCAAAGTGGTGTAAGTGACCACATTGATCTTACATTTCTGTTTCAGCATCACGACAAAGATCTTGAGTGCACTATCAGAGTCTTGATGCTTCACATATCCGTCTATAACTGTTGAATAAGTATATTCATCTGGAACATGACACGCCTTTCTCATCCTATTGATGCATGATAGAGCGTCTGTCATGTTTCCAAGTTTACAGAAACCCTTAATCATGGCATTATATCCCACTGTTCCAAGGTCCACACCCTTGTCAATTGTGAGTTCAAAAACTTTTTTTGCCTCGTCAAGTTCACCATTTCTGATAAAACCATCCACCAAAGTGGCATAAATGTATGCATCAGGTTGAACTTTTTGTTCAAGCATTTCCGATAATAGCAGTTTGGCAGCAGGAAACCTTCCTTTCTTACAAAGGCCACTCATCAGAACATTGTAAATTTGAGCATCAGGGAATACTCCCTTTTCCAGCATCTTCTCTCGGATCATCAACGCACCATCTATTTCCCCTGCAACAACAGCTCCATGAATAAGAGCTCCATAAGAAACCAAGTCAGGCTGATCTCCTGTTTCAGCAATCTTAACAAGCATATTCGATGCCTTAACATAATCCCCTTGTCTGCAATAGGCATGCATGAGGGGAGTATAACTAAACTTATTAGGCGCCAATCCTCTCTTTTTTGCCTGCTCAAGGAGGTCATCAGCTTCCTTAAGTCTCCCACTCCTGCATGAACAGTTTATCAGAGTATTGTAAGTTGTAATATCTGGTTTACATCCATTCTCAATCATCCTTCTCGCCGTGTCAACTGCTTCATCTACCAAGCCATGTTTGTATTTAGCATCAATAATCTCATTATACACTTGCACGTTCACTTTCAATCCCCTTTCAGTCATTTCTGTCAGAAGCAAATCAACCGCTTCAAATTCCCCAGACTTGCAAAATCCATAAATCATAGCCCCATAAGTTTCTAATGTGGGCAAAAATCCCTTCAATTTCAATTCCTTGAAAACTCTGTTTGCACCATTCAGGTTGCCATTCTTGCAGTAACCATCAATAATTGTATTGTAAAATACAATATTTGGTACGCAATCCTTTCCCCATCTGTCTTTAATCAACTTCCGACCTTCCTCAACCTTTCCCTCATTGCAAAGGCCCTTCACCACGATAGAGGTACTATAGTTATCCACAATGGTACCTTCGCCCTCATCTCTTCCAGACATTTCATCATACAATTGACGTGCAATTTCTACTTTCCCATGTTTCACTAAAGCTTGAAGCAATGAGTTACAAGCCACGGTACTAGGATAACAATTATGCATTTCACGCGTCGTATGAACTAACTCGAGAGCCCTATCAGCCAACCCAGAATCTCCGCAAGCCCAAATAATAAAGCTCAATGTTTCAGGGGTGGGCTTTATGTTCTCCACTTTCATGTTCTTCAACACCAATTCAATCTCTGAAAACAATCTAAACCTCGCCAAAAGTTTCAGAAGCGAAGAATATGCTGTCCCGTCTAGGGAACAAGAGTACGGTCTTCTGTTAGCCCAATCAAAGAACTTCAAACCCAGTTCTGCGTTGTGTACTCGATCCAAAACGAAATGCGCAACATCGGAAACGAGTATTCCGGATTCTGCGAAGTGGGTTTCGAGGGAATCTTCCCATTCCTCATGGGTTCTAAGGATGTCGATGGCGTCGAAAACAAGCTTCTTGATACGAGGCGTGAAGGCCATAGGGTTAAAAGAGGTCTTTTTTGCGTTGTGACGACGGGTTTTGATTAGGGAAAGAATTGCTTTCGACATTGGGACTGAACAACGAACGAGGAAAAGTTTGAACTTCGAATATTGTATTCATTTGTGAGCTCAAATGCTGTACGCTGTTCTTACATGAGCTCTTTCGTTAAGTACTTCAGAGTATTTGCAGAATCTCACATCAAAGATTCAGACATCTACTCACTCCAAAAGCGGAAGGGATGATGTATCAAAAAAATGGCGGAAGTGACGCTAGGCGCGGACCTCGTGGACTAGAACATAGCCACATAGGTTCCCAGGCAAGCAAAGCCAGCTGCATAATGTTTCTCAAACCCAGGTCATTGCTAATTTGCCCATCTTCCACCAAGAACTGGTTTAGATTTTGGGGGCGTTTGGGATCCTTAAAAACAATTAAAAAAATTAATTTTATGCATATCGGAAAATTTTTTTACATCAAACGATGTTTTTATTTTTTTTGAGAGCATACACGATACTTCAAGAATTGAAAGGTGAAACCAGATTTTGTTGTCAGGAACAGCGAGAATCGAATTTACAATTTTATGAATTATAAACTGATTTCTTACTAATTATATCAATTCTTATTCGGAGGAAACTCACAAATTTTGGCGGAGTGAAGTAACTTCTCACAATTTTAGCCTCTTGCAATTTAATCCTTTACTATTAACTTGGTGCAATTTAATGTTTCAAGTATTACTAGTTATTTTAGTCTCCATGCATCTTAATTTTCTGTTTCTTTTTTTGCCAACGCAGACGTCTTAATTTTCTAGAAGCACAGTGACCAACAGATTAAATGATAAAAACTTTAAAAGAATCGAATGACCTAGACCTGGACTAAATTGTAACCAAATTATGAGGACCGAATGATTAATTTTTTAACGGAGGGCACTGATTCCACCAATGGATATGAAGAGTTCTGTCAAGGGGCAAAATGAAGCAGCAATGCAGCATGTGTTAGGGGTAGCCCGAGCCAATATTAAAGGTTGAATATGCACAATGTAAAGCAGAAATGGTAGGATCAAGAATCATAATTTGACCGATTTCTATTAATATTGTATAGTTATAACGATACATCCTTTGTTTCGTTATTATTTTTTATTCTTCCTCTGCATGTGACATTCCATGTTCCTTAAATTGGTAATAATATTAGTCCATCAAGGCATACATTAGGACAAAAATAAAAGTCAAAATTCACTACTTTGGATTAATTCATAACATTAAGTTGTCAAATGATACAAAGGATAATCCAATATGACATTGACACCCTAAAGGAGGTGCCGGCTCTGCTTACAATAACAATCTTTTATTCTTTTGAAGTTATTACCAGCAAACCCAAAGCACCAATTAGAATGTACTGCAAGCAAAACCAAACAAGGTTAGCGAACTGGGAAATTTCATGAACCTAATTTCAGACCATTCAAAATTTACATAATTCCGATATATAAGCAAGTATAAATCAAGTTCAATGAGGATCGGCACTGGTAAGACACCTTGATGATAGGCTTTTCAGTCATAATGATAGTCACCCAGCCAACATAAGGTAAGAACCTGCGAAATAAAAATTTAAGCACTATCAAGATCTATCAGAATTAAATGTATTTTAAAAAAAAAAATCCATCAGATCTTATATGAAGTGAATCATATTATACATGACTAATAAATAATACAATTTTTCTATAAATCTTATATTAAAATGAAATCAGCTAAAGCAAAAGTTGAATTTTGAAAATAACAAATTCATTACCAGTTAGTTCTTTCATACATTGTGATCACTTGACAAAAGGACTAAAATGCATTGAGCTTGTAATTTTGGGGGATTGAGAGCTGCATTCACTAATTCCCGAAGTTCAAAAGTAAATAGGTCCAAATTATAAGTTAAAACTACAATTAAGCCTTCATATGGTACCTAGGCCAGAATGATGAAACTTCAATGTCATGCTCCGGTCTTAGTTGCAGAGCTAAAGAGCCAAGGCATACAACTTTATAACTCCAGTACAAATCAACAATTCAAGGTTGCTCTAACATGCAAGATATAGCTTTCCACGACAAATTTACAGAACAAGTCTACAAACAAATAGCGCTAGTGTATCAAAGGAAAGGAGTTAGCTCATCCAATAAGAACGTATAGTCTCTTTCTCCTTAACAGTCTAAGGTTGGATTCCTCTCTCATGCACTCTAGGATTGGGATATGCCTTTAAGATCGAATAGGAAGGGAACAGCTGGTCGAAGTACATGGATAAACAGATAAAGATTAAAATGAATAAAAAAATAACAGAGCAAGTGTAACAGGAAGGAAGATATATTTTACCCAACAGCTCTTCCCATAATGTGGTGCCTTTGCAGCCATAGCTGACCATGAGCATACAGAAGCCTGTCATCCCCATTATTGTTATCTCCTGCAAAAGGAAGTAAACATGTAGAGGGTGAGTAATATTAGAAACTAATCAGCGCCCCCTGAAAGGACAACCAAAACAACAAATCACATTATATGCAATCTTTTGCATGAAAAATGCGCATCACATGTCAGATAGGTGTTACCAGTATACAGCACCTCCAGTATTTTCAATAAATTCGCTTAGTTATGAACAAGTCACTACCTTTTGTGAGAACATCAACCTCCCTAGTATCTTGTCGTTCATGAACCTATAAATAATCAACCATTAGATGGAATATCAATAATCATGAACTACCTGGTAATAGGTAAATGTTTCAGAAAATCAAAGCTTTCAGAATGTTTGAAGAGAACATTTCCTGATAAATTAGTTTAAGGAATATCCTGACCACAATGTCATAAACTACCATACAAGTTATCACAGCATTCCTCTGCCACGAGAGAGGGATATTTAATAAAGTTTCCGAAGTACCATTCTTCTTTCCTCAAAGGGGGCAAAATGAAGAACCCCAAACTCATGTCGACACAGAGAATGTTATCAATAACAAGCCCTAGATAAAAGTAGAGATAAGTAAAAATGGCAAGACACCCAATGGAATGTGGGGTGCTAAACTGCTGTCTCAAGAAAACTTTTTTTTTTGGGATGCTAAGGACTATAACACTGCCAGGACCCGGAGCCAAGTGACTCAAATCCACACAAAAGAGGGTAAAAATCAAAGCGTATGTCAACTTCTTTCCTTACGGTTAGAACTACTATTCCACTATTCTAGTGGAGGTTTGAAACAGAAATTAGCACAATAAACCATCAGACCCAAACCATCACATTCATAACACCCTTGCCATCACTTTCTCTTCCACTACTCTGGCATGATCTCCACAAGCGTTAGAGGTAGTAACTCTTTTGCTCAATCCCTATTCTAGAGCAAGATTTTTAGGCTGGATTAACGCTTGGCCCAAACCATCACATTCCCACACAAAAGCAAGGCTGAAAAGAAGCATAAATGTGCCAGCTCAGTAGTTTAGTTTCAGCCCCTCAAGTCTGTTGTAGAATGCAATAGCTGATAAAGGAAAGCTTCCTCAATATACCATTCCTTTGTACTGTGATTTTACAAAAACTATTACTTTAATCATTCTAAGAATGTTAAAGTTTAGCACATCAGGAAAAATAATTTGAGTTTTTTGCAGGTACTTTATCAGTATTCATCTTTATCAATAGACCATAATTTCAATTTCCAGCCGTAATGCCCTGTTTGAATTAACGCTTATAGATCCAAGTAGTGTGCTAGATGCAATAGTACAATCAATTAATATGCTAATAATAATATTTATACATCTTTGTAACAACAATCATGAAGAAAAAAGCATTCTACCTCATATAGAGTCAAGAGGCAATTATGTGCTGAGGTACACGGAACAACTAACTCAGTCACATTTATGATCAAGGAGAAACTCATTGCACCAAACTAAGACTCAACCAAAAACTTCACAAAATAAATGCTCAAAGTATGGCAGGAAGGTTGAGCTTACCTTAATTACACGATGAACAATTGGAATCTCACGGCCCTAAACACAAAAACAAAAACAAAAACAATCAAGGATATTAGCAAGAGGGGTTAAAAACAGGGCAGCAGTAGAAGAATATAGAAACAGATTTGAAGAAGGTAATAAGCAATTATTGATTCACAAATGATTGTAAATGATATGTCCAGATAAGATTAACTTAAATTTTCAGTCAAAGCCCAAATAGAGAGCTAAGATACTGAGCTTAAACCTGCTCTCAAAGCAGACCACTGATTAAAAATCTCCTAGAGGGAATAACGAAATAGAACCAACAAAGAATGGGTTTTGCAGGAACAAATTGATATAGAATAAAGAGTAATTACAATTAAAGGCTTGGTAACAGCAGTTGCATCAGAAAATTAATGACGTCACAAAAAGACAGCTGTCTGTCACATAATATTCTATTATAAATATACAAAGCAAGCAAAATAAAGAGTAATACTAATCAAGGACTTACATCTACATTGAATACCACAATCTCCCCAGCACGAATAGGATCTTGGGTCATGTGCAAAAATAGGATATCCCCCTGCACACGATATAAGAGGACATTCGTGAACTGATCAAACAAACAGTTCAATTTTATGGGCAAACTGTCCATATAAGACGCAGCTTCTCCTTGTTGGTGCCTGCTATTAGATGAGCAAAATATTTCTAGAACTAGGCCAAACCTCCAGTGTGAAACACGGGGAAAATGAAAAGAAATAAAACAGACATGCACACTGAGAGTAAATGGTAACTGCACAGCAGTAAATGATTTTAATTTTATATTTTGTATTGATTAGGATAGAGAAGACACACGAAATACAATATACATATGTTCATGCATTCGATTGATTTACCCTCTTAAATCCCGGTTCCATGCTTCCAGAAAGAACAACCACAACAGGAGATTCACTGCCAGTGAAACACATCAGCGCCTTCCATATTATCAGTGCAGATGTAACAATCATGCCTGACCCAAAACGAGTATAAATGACAAAATAACAATGTCATAGATTGATCAGAACAGAACTCGGATAATAGAAAACACCAACACAAAAAGTGAGGGCAGTAGGGAATTCTTCAGCCAATAAATATAATGTAGCCGGTGTGTTGGTAAAGAATGCCATACTTGACCACCACAACCTCTTTCTATCGAAAATGCACGTAACAGGCAAAAACTATAGAACGAGCTGCATTAAATGATAACGAAATGAAAACATTCAGAAGGCTGCTCAGGCAAACCTTACGTCTAATTTTGATTAAATTTGTTGGGTTATTTCCCTGTTCCATTTATTGGTACCAAGGAAAAAAAAAAGTCAATTCGAAGTAAACAGGATGTCAAAAACTAGCTTTTCCCCATTCATTGCTTCAAACTTGTTAACTTCCTCATGTACCCTCATCATTGAAGTTCATGATCTTTCCGAGCATGGTGGGACACACGCACCCAGAGAAAGCAACAAGAAGGAACTAACCGAGACTAACAGCCTGGGTAAGGACCTGGCGGATCTGAAGAGATTTAATGGATTCCATAGTCTCGCCGATCCAACCCATTTTTGAGTCGCTTCTGATTCAGCTCTTCAATTTCTGCCTCTTATCAACCTCCCAATTGCTTCCACTTCGCCCCCGTGTAACTTCTCCTGACAGCAGGGATTTTTTTTTTTTAAAAATTTTTGGGTTCGAGGCTACGCCTGGACTTATTGACCGGACGCAAAGGGGGCCGTTTCCCATAGGAAAAATCCAAAACAAAAAACTTTAAAAATTTTAAAATCCCAAACTACAAAACTATATTATCTTTTTAAATATTATTAATTATTATTAAGGTATAGTGAACAAGACTCATTTAAAATTTTGACATTCAAAAGCATTTTTTTGGGATCATTTCTTTCCCATATTCATTTCACCAATAAGCATATAAACTAACTTTCTTACCGTCAAATGATATTTTGTTGTATGATTCAGATAAGTTGTTCAATAATTATAAAATCCAGGTGTGTGGATTAATTTTTTAGAAGTAATTTTATAGTGTATGAGATAAGTATATGAAAAAAACCAGAGTTTTCTCAAGCTTGCATATAAACATCCTTTTAATCCTATAAAGAAATTAATAAAGATTCTGATTTTGTTTTAAATCGTCATTAAAATTGGAATTTAAACTAGTTTGGTATGAATTAAAAATAAATAAATAAATAAATAACTTAATTCTAATAAATACGAGTATGACATGATTTATATTATGTATTAGTTTATAAATGAAATAAATTAGCTTTTAAAAATAATGAATGCAAGAAATAAAATGGATTAAAGTATTTAAAAAAACCCTTAATTATCTCCCATATTAGTTGATGAGTATTACCTATTTCCTGGTATGATCAAATACGACCAAAAATTTAAAACTACTTCTTCAATGATAAATATTAAACTCATTTTCTAAATATGATCATCAAACCCATAATTTTGATGGTTTTCAACGTATAATTAAATACACACTTCAAAACATGAGTAATTTTTATTAATTTTTTTTTACCAGCGACTAATTTTTATTGATGATTTATCAAGCTATGGTTGCCAAAATAAATGACTTATCAAAGGAGAAGGTGATTTTGTATTTAAGCAGAAAAGTTTTGCCAACTGATTATTTATTTATTGTTCATGCCTCTTAGGCATAACAAAATCTCCATTTTCTCTGAACGAAACCACAAAAAAAAAAAGGTCCGGAAGTAGAAAGGAGATCAATTCTTTAACATAGCAACAAAAAGTTGGTTTACTTGGTAGAATTATCCCTTTATATTTATATAAACAGAACAAAGGTCCCTAAAAATCTGTTTTCTTCCAAGTTCGGTCACATTGTAGGATGCACGATTATATTGCAATTTGAATTTAAATCTAACTGTCTGAATCCGTCTCAAAATCTATTCTGAATCTCCTGCTATTTGTTTCTCAAATAAGAAATGAAAGGAATTCTGATTTTTAATGCTTAATTCAGTTAAAACATATCACTTCATGGGATCAAAAGATCTGGGAAAGAGAACTAAAGAGATTCCCCCCTATTTTATATAGGAAGCCAAATAATTTGATGGGACAATAACACTCTTGATCCCTGCACTTTATTCGTTTTTTTGTTCTTAGTCTTTCCATTTTATTTTTGTTGTTTTCCGTCCCTTTTATCTACTCCTTTGCAAACATGCTACTTAATCAGACCCAATTTTAAACCAGACAAGATTATGTGTGTGTGTGTGTGTGTGTGTGTTTCACCTAAGCATGTTTTTCCTATTCATTTGATAGGCTTAATCGTGTTAAGTTCAAGTCAGTAATAAAATCAACATCATTTGGGCCACCTCATGGTCCGTCTTACTATTTTCCAAACTAAAAGGACTAATATTATTTGAGAATTGAGATAGAGTGAATAAGAAGGATGAAAAACTGTAAAATAAACTAAAGGAACTAAAACATAACACAATTAAAGTATAGAAGGAGCCTGGGGTGACATTTCCCTAATTAACTGTACAGCGCGCGAAATCATCTCAGAATTGGTGCAAGCTTCAAAAGTCCAGATTTTGTTTATATTGCTTCTGTGAATAATATGAAGAAGCATGTACCAGAAGAAAGAAAACAGGAAAAAGGTTCCAAACTACGAAGCATCTATATGTAAATTCAAGTTTGGGGCCTAAATACTTGTATTCTTTTATACACATCTGAACAGGGAGATTCCGGATTAATACTTGCAATTTTGAAGAAAAAAGCATTCTGAGTCTCTTCCCAGCATTCAACTTTTTCTCCATAGCCTATTTCTTGAATAGCTTAATTAAGCTATACGCATATCTGCCAGCAAAATACACGGCCTTTAATTTGTTAAAACAAGTTCAGGAGGCAGGCTAGCTAGCAAATGCTGAATTGATTTTTCATGATGGTGAATGTTCAAAGAAAAGAGAATGATGATTAGTTCCTTACCCAACAATTAAGATGATTAAGGACATGGCAAATAAGAGATATTGATAGAAGGTGAACTTGGATTTACGTTTGACATCATATCCTGGAGGAATATGCTTACGATTTACATATCCATATTGAGGACGCATTAAAAGAACAAACCCCAGAAGGAATCCTGAAGAGAACCCTCCAACATGAGCTGAATTGTCAACCCGAGGCAGAAATCCAAGTGACAAGTTTAAGGCACTAATGACCAAAAGAGTTATAAGAGCTGCACACTGAAGAAAACAATAGGTTAGATTTCGTTTTCTCACGAAATACTCCTCCAAACAGGATTAATTAAGTATACAGAATAGGTTACCTTATTTTCATAAATTGTCCAGTTCGTTAGAAGCTCAGAAAGCATGGCCCCAAGGAGTCCAAAAAGGGCACCAGATGCACCAACTGATATGGTTGGTTTTGCAGATGCCTCCAAATGCAACATTGATATTAAGCTTCCCGCGAACCCAGAAAGTGTGTATAATAATCCAATTCTAACTGCAACACATAAGGGGATTCAGGGAACTTACTGATAGACTTTCAAAAAATTCAATGGGAAAATTCAGCAAAATGCTTACTGAATCCAAATTCCTGCTCAAGCCGGATTCCTATGGATAAGAGACTAAACATATTGGCGACTAAATGTATAACACCAGCATGAAGAAACATGCAGGTTATCAGGCGCCATCCTTCGTTGTCCTCCACCACTAATTCCTTTTGTAGGGCTCCTAAATTTTGCAGTCTGCAGAAGTTTGAACAAAGGGTCAAACCTACTAATCTTTCTATACACAAGAGCTATGAAAATCCATTATAGTTTACTTTCTGTGCAGGACAAAGCAGACTATAGTAATACGAGCAATCCTGACTTCAGTCGTTCAAGTGGTACTGTTAGCTGATAAGCTTAGTAGATGTGAGTATGAACTCCACAATATTCTGATAAGAATATCAATTAATCCTGCTTTTGAACTTTCTTAAGGGCGACTTATATGCTTGATGGGAGTAAATTTGAGATTAGTGAGGAGCATAAGTCAAACTTAGAAATTTATCAAGATTTATATGCAGACAGATGCAATGTCAATATTTTAATCATTCCTTTCCCTCTCTTCCATTTTCATCACTCCTTTGAGCTAGATTCAGAGATTGTTCATTCTTCGAGTTCAACAAATATCATTCTGGGAAAGCTTCATATTGAACAGTTGGAATTAAAGAGAACGAAACAAAAACCTATTAAAGAAAATTAAGCAGTCCCCATTTCCCTATGAGTACATCTAACTATCTAAAGCAGAAATTGAAATGAGAGAGAGGGAACTAGTCCTCACGTGCTGGTGGAAGGTCCGAGGAGGGGATTCTCCTTGAATGGTTGGAAAGAGAACCTTCCCAAATATTCTGGGAGGAGGCATTTGCGATCTTTGTCTATTTTTGCAGGGCAATCATTGTAGTACATCGAATACCAAAACAGTGCCACATTAACCACAAATATGAGCGGCACAAGCCAGGGGAACCACGGCTTCGGAAGCGGTGGGGAAAAACGCGGTGTTGGTTGCGGGGTTTCTGATCGGCTCTTTCGATGCCCGCGTCTCGTCTCCATATCAGATGACGGCGACGGTTGGCCATGGCGACCTCCATGGGCCGTTTCAACGTCGTAGGGAGGCGACGATCTGCTCTTGCGGCCTCCGTGAGCGGTCTCAACGTCATGGGGAGGCGATGGTCGGCCCATGCGGCCTCCGTGAGCCGTCTCAACGTCATAGGGAGGGGATGGCCGGCCCTTGTGGCCTCCGTGAGCCGTCTCAATTTCGGACGGCGGGGATGGAGGGTTTTTCCCCATGGAAGAAAAGAGTGCAGCTTTTCCGTCGCTGGAAAGCGGCGGCGACTATAGGTCGCTAAGCTGCACCGATTATTAGGAGTGGGAAAGACATGAGAAGGAGAGAGGGGGGGAGAGAGAGCAGAGAGAAACTTAATTTGGGAAGGAAGGATCGAACGATTCTCGTTAGCGTTGGCGGTTAAAACAACTCAGTTTCCCGCTAATAGAATTTGTTTCCGTTAATATTTTGTCATCACCGATAGTTTATTTAAAAAAACAAAATAGTTCTTGCTCTTTTTATAATACTACTTCCAGTGCTTAATACTATCTCTGGTTTTAATATAAGATGTTTGATTTTTTATTTGGTCCTAATTATAAGATCTCAATCCATTTTGTCTCTCATATTTATGCATTCTTTTCCAAGATAATCCTTCTAACAATGATAGTTCTAGCCAATACACTTAATTAGCAAGGATATTTTAGGAATGAAAACACTTATTTATTACCAATAACTAACTTAACTTACTTCCTTAATCTCCTCAAATAAGTCAACTGGGTCTTATAATTAGGACCGAAGGTAGTATAAGGCTTTGTTTGACTTTTATTTTGGTCCTAAATATAAAACCCTAATCCATTTTGTTTCTTATATTTATTTTTTTTTTCAAAATAGCCTTTTTAACAATAATAGTTCTAGTCAATACATTTAATTAACAAGGATATTTTAAGAAAGACAACACCTATTTAGGACAAATAACTAACTCAATTTACTTTTTTAATCTCCTCAAATTAGTCAACTGACTCTTATAATTAGGATCGAAAGTAGTATAATTTTATTAATTTATATTATAAAATCAGTTTTATATTTACGAGTGGGGGAGTACAAACATATCTTTCTATAATATATTATAAAATTTTCCTAACTTGTTTATCTTATATTCTGTAAATCACTATTAAAAAATTGTTTTTGAAAGCTCCTATGATCATCTCAATTAATGAGCCTATAATTCAAAATACTTTAGCCTTGTTAATAATATTGTGGACTCGTCATTAGTTATAGGCAATGTTAATAGGGTCAACAATAAAAGTTGTTAATGTTTTTTAGGTAGAAAGGGAGGGGGAGATAGCCATGAGTGCACATGAGTAATTGCAGTTCTTCCAGGGCATTGAAATAAAAATCTTGCGAGGGTTCAGTTTACTTTTAGCCTTTCCCTCCTTCAGCTCACATGCACAAGAACGATCTAATAAAAAAAAATTACAGAGATCTAATTAAAATGGGTTAATATCATTGTTGATCCTGATAATTCAATCTTGATTTTGATTCCTATAATATTAATTCGTGATTTTTTATCTCTACACTTTAATTTATTCTATTTAAAATGTTAATCCCCATAGTCATAAGTATATAACTAATGAATTAATAGTATCATTGATGAAATAAAGATGAAATGTTATATGATTTGAAACTATAATGATTAAAATTAAAATTCGATTATCATGTGAGAACCAATAATGATATTGTTAACCCAGTTAAAATTTACATAAAATTACCTTCTAATGAAATATTTTTTAAAAACATAAATTCTTCACCATTTCCTCCCCATTTTTTCAGGTAGAGATATTCTTTTAGTCGAAGCACTAAATGTAAACAGAGATTCAAACTCAATTAAATCCAAGCTATGTTTGGTTTCCGCTCCAATTCACATGCACACAGCAAAGGTTATGTTTTTATTTTATTTTATTTTATTTTATTTTATTTTATTTTATTTTAATTGGGCCACCTAAAGAGAGAGAGGATTAGGTGGTGGAAGAAGTTAAACTTGACAAAATCATTGGGAAGAAAAAAGAAACAACCAAATCTACAAATTTTACTCCCACCATCTATTATTATAAGATTCAATTTTTTAATAAGTTTATTTCTTTTTATAAGGTTCTTTTTGAATTTGTCTTAAGTATTTAATACAGTATTACCTATTTTATCTTAATTTAATATATTTAATACATTTTTTTTATCTCACTATTACTCTCTCACATTTATCTATTTATATATAGTAGTGTAATTAGAAAAAAAAAACTATATTTACTACTATTAATTACTTTTAACTAGACGGAATAGTACATTAAAAAGATCATCTAACAACAAAAATTAAGCCAACATCACATGGTAACATAGAATCAACCAAGAGACTCAACTAGACTCACAGACCCACGAAAACCTACCCAAGAAAACATCCAAAGCGTGATTCGGTCCATCACTACATTATTTATTTTCTGGTCTGCAATATGAATTCAGTTCATCCTTTGAACTCCATTGCCACATTATTACTACTCTGTTGCTTTAGAAACTGCAGAACCCTGGCACAAGTTGAATCCATACCAGATGCCATTGGGAATGAAGGTGTTGAAGTAAAACGTAATGGCCTTGGTGTAATATCCATACACTGTTACTTTCTCTGGTCTCCAACCATCGTATCCACTCCTGTACAGATACAGGTAGCAAATTTGATACGTACATTGACCGTATACCTCATACGTATCCGTAGAGCACCGTTCGAATGCCCCAGAAGATGGGTCATCTATCCGTGGGGCATAAACCTGATTTATCACCACCAACACCAGATTGATTGAGCAGAAATGAAAGAATCTATCTGCGAGTGATTCCGATGATTCAGGAATTTACCAACCTGATTGCCATAAGCATCGCCAAATGCGAGACTGATCTGATCTCTGGTGTATCGAGGTGAAGAGCAGCTTGTCTTTATGGACACTCTGTATGAACAACTAGCCTGATTCTGCAACAGAAAAACAAAAATCAAGTATGTATCGGAGATCTAGAATACTAATTTAAGTTTGAATATGAAAATCCCCATATAATGTTCCTCTTTCTGGATAATCTTCTGCTTTGCGTGATTTTAGGGTTTCTTCCCCCCCCCCCCCCCAATGCTTTATCCGATGGAAAGGTAACCTTTCAAAAAAGGAAGAAAAGGAAAAAGGGGTGTTACCCACCTGGTGCTGGGTTTCATTGAGCTTGAAGGATTCAAGAGCTTGGGGTTGAGAGAATGTTGGGTTGGCATCTGAGAGCGCAACGATGGCGGCAATTATAAGAACTGAAATGAGAGATCTCATTGTGGTTTTGTGGGAGAAGACCAGAGTGATTAGTATCTGTGACTCTGGGGGGCAAAAGAGTGGAGCAGTGTTCTTATTACTCTAGGAGATTTTCTAGACTGATCGGATCTACAAATTTTAGTAATAATTTATTTCCTGCTTAATCATAAAAAGACAAATATGATTGAAAAGTAGTACACTTTATACGTTTGTCCATTTCTTCATGAAGGAATACTAAAAGTTTCACGGAGCGGCCAAAAACACTGAAAGTTGAGAAACTTGCTGAAATATCCAAGAACCCTAATGCAACTTACCTTGTCCCTAGTAGGTAACATTCTTCTTCACTTGCATGCAATATATCTTCAATTCAATTATGTATAAAACAGAAAATATTATATAAAAAAATCCTTTTAGGCAATAAAATTTTCAAGCGTCCACTTTCTTAGCAAAATTATATAATATCGTTTTCTTGTTTTCAGATTGCATTTTGGAGCTCTGATATAATGGTGCACTTGAAGGGCCACTGAAAAAACAAATCATCTAATTAAGTCCTCAATTATGAAAAACAAACAGTAAAAATAATAAAAAATCTATATTTTTTGCACTTAAATGTAATTCGTGTCTTATTATATTAGGTTCAAATTCTGTTACGTATCAATGTCCATCATACTTATCTCTAAAAGAAACACTACAACAACATCAACCGTAGACGGCACTTGATAAGCGAACCAACATATGAAGGGCGAGAGGGGGGAATGGTACATCGCCCACATGAAATATAATAACCATTTTTCTTATGAACTGTTACAAATCTTTAAAATTAAAAAACTATATTAAAATGAACATACGCCCTTTTCCAGGGAAAAACTCATTACAAGATGCTGCGGAGCAAAAGAACCTCGAAGGACTATCCAAGCTACCACGGCTGGCTTTAAAGTTCCCATTCAGAACTCCGTTGGAGGCTTCAACCTTATTAATCTTTTGATCCTATCTTTCTCTGTGTTTTCCAAATATCCCTTGAAAAGATACACGAGGAATATGTCAATCGAAAAATCCAGAAGAGATTACTCAACCATGAAACGCAGAAGTAAAAAGCATGAAGCTTGGTTCAATCATTGTAGATACAGGAAACAACAGAAATTAACCATGACATCTTTTATATACTACCATGAACATCCAATGCGTTTGTTTCATCCAAAATGGATGACATCTATGATTTTATAGTCCCTCTAAACGGGCAGTGTCAACGGTTTACACAGAGACGATGAATGCAGATGATTGATGTGGGCAAGCACAATGAATGAACAGATTAAAAAATGCCAAAGATCTTAGGCTTGTCATTTCATTAAGAATGCTAAAATTATCCAGAATGGCACCTCACCTTCCAAACAATTTCATCCAAACACAAGCAGATTCTTCCATACTTGTCAAGGAAAAGGCGCTCAGTCGGAGGCTTCCCACATACGTCCTTCACAACTGAGGTTATCACAAAGATCACTTCTGACACTGCAGACAAAATGCCGTAAGTACTAGTGGAAGTCTTTACAAACATACATTACTGTTGTCACAATGTCTTTTCTGTCTTTTTTCCTTCTTTTTTCTCTTTCAGTAGGTTTGAAACTACAAAAACAACGCTTAGAACCAGCTTGACCCGCATTTTATTGATCACTAGTTTTTATCACTCTACGTTTTTAGAAGGCATTGGCGCATTGCCAAAATCAATCCATTCCAAAATCACAGTTTTATTCCGTACAAGTTCATTAGATTAGCAATCTTAACAAAGCAGTCGTTCTAGCTTTAAAACCAACCAATGTTAACTATTTTCAAGACCAAAAGAACTAGTCACTCCAATCAAATGTTACGTAAGAATCCCTCCTCCATCTCAAAGAAGAAAAAGATATCAAAAAGAGATGCAGTAAATACATACAGGCAAGTTCGTCATACTCATCCTTTCCCACAACATAGATGCTGACATCCCCAAGCACTGTGTATACAATATAAACTGACCTGATAGCAAAAAATACATTCTCCAAGTAAAATACTATAATATCATAAGAGAAGGAATCATAAGGCCAAGATATACAAATAACAGGTTGCAGAGAAGCAAATAGTAAACTCGAGAGAGAGCTGATTGTTCTACTGCAAATTTCTGATTTTAATGGCAGTAGCAACTGTTAAACTTCATTGAACATGTTTTGTGCCGGTTAATCTTCTACAATTTATTTCCAATTTTTCAACTTTGAATGACTCTGAAATGGCAACTTCTCAAGTTCATTTTATTCAAGTATCTAGCACTATTAGCTTGCTAGACTTCATCGTATTTAACAACACACTGGAAAAATCAGCAACATTAGATCTTAGCTTGCATTGATTTTGATTAAGATAAACAAACTCAACAACTATTTCATCTAAGTTAGCATTGATTCTCGAGCAGTTCCCAAAAGCTTCCCTACAGTGTACTCCGGTAAGGCAATTTATATGGGTCTGTGTACACACATCACGTCTTCAAGAGGTGAGAAAAATGAGAGAACAAAGTACATACTTGTGGCTAGCAACAAGGAGTTCTTCATTTTTGACACCTTTCAGGTTATCAGATCCCAGTTTAACCAAGAAAGAGCGCCAATGCAGACGCTCCTCTGCAGGAACTCCATGAAAACTGCAATAAGGTGAGTCACAGAGATAAGCTCAAACATCATCATAAAGTTTATAATGTCTCTTTTTAATGCTAGACGACTGCAGATCTACTCAAAAGATACCACAAAAGAAACTTCTCAATTTGCCAGGTTACATAGCAAAGCTCAACAATATTTACTCTAATTTCTATGGTACTTAGTCATCAACAATTCTTTTCTTTCAACCACTGCACCAGTGTTGGCTACAAGTCAAGAATGCTGTAAACAAATTCAAGCAAAAGTAATAGGAAAGCAATTAGTGATATTTGTCTTCCACCTGAAAATTACCCAAATTAGAGTACTATACGACTTATCACTTCTCAATGAAATTTCATTAAACAAAAAACAAGATTTCACAAATAACACAGCTAACCCTACCCCCTTGCCTCTTGGTCATAATTGATATAGGGGAAGAACCATAACACCTCATGCTACACTGACTAGTGCTCCTACAGTGGGAAATTGCAACTGGGTAGTTTGCTTTCTGCTCAAATGCCCATTATTCAAACTGTTCACATAAAAAGAACAACCCGCCATGCTATACAGATTCATATCCTGTTAAACCCGGTCCCGATCCAACAGAACATCAACACCTCCCAGCCCGCACATACAATTATTCCAACACCAAGCGAGATCGAATGCCTATACGTGAAATTTCTAATCAAAGTAAAAATCACACACAGTAAGTCAATAACAAACAAGGAAAATGTTAACTTCAGAAACGGGAAGAAGAGATCGGAAAGCACCGTTCAATGAGGATATTGCCCTCAGAGTTGGCAAACACGACGGCAAGTATCATGGTCTTGATTTCTTACTCGATGCGATACTGTTTTTCCCTATCAGCGTCAACAAAATTGATTTACCGATTTTCGCTTTGTCGGCCTGGGATCTTCCCCTCCGCCTGTTCGGTGGTTGTGGTGCTCAATTACTAAAATGCCCCACATACGCAGGTCATTAACAGAAAGGCCATTCCATTCGCGGTCACTTTTCTATGGTCGCTGGAGGAATAGAACTTTTTTCACCAAAAAGCTAAAAAAAAAAAAAAAACACACACACACAGGAGAACTTTCTCATGTGCGGGCTAAGAGCCTAGCGCCATAAATTTCAAATAATTTTATAGCATATAAAGCAAATATTATTACATTCGATCTTATTTATAAGAACTCATTTATATATTACAAATAAGATCTTATAACTAGAACCTAAGATAATACTTCATGTCCTTAATATAAGAGTTAATTGACTAATTTGATTAGATTAAAAAAATTAATTAAATTGATTATTTGTAATAAATAGGTATTATCTTTCTTAAAATATTCTTGTTAATTAAATGTATTGATTAGAACTACTATTATTATAAGGACTATTTTAAAAAAAATTGATAAATATAAGAAACAAAATGAATTTAGATATTATATTTAAAAACAAAATTAAAATTAAATAAGGTTTTATATTGAGAATGTGAGATAGTATATAATAAAAATCATCTTGATTTGCGTGAAGGGGACAAACTAAACACCCCAAGTAAACATTCAATTATTCTACAATTATGATAATTTTTATAACCTCTACAATTTCGATGACAGCAGTTGATTACACAAAATACTACCTCCAGTTTATAATACTTAGTTTGATATTCAATTTGATTTTAAATATAATATCTTAATTTATTTTATTTCTCATATTTATCTATTTTTTTAAGATAATCCTTGTAGCAGCTACGCATGTTAAAAGTTTTATCAAATGAAAGTTCTAACTAATATCCATGATTAGCAAGGGTAATTTAAAAAAGATAATACTAATTTATTACAAATAACTAATTTAACTAATTTCTTTAATATATTCAAACTAGTCAAAGATTTGGTTTTGGATAGAGCTCAATGGCGTCGTGCGATCCATATAGCCGACTCCACTTAATGGGATAAGATTTTGTTGTTGTTATATTCAAATTAGTTAACTAATTCTTATATTAAAAATCAGAAGTGATATTGACAATAAAATTTTTAAATAACTTCTTTTTTCAATTCCTTTTCAAAGATTTTTTTTTTATAGGGTCTCAAACTGCCTTTTTTATATATGTTCCCGCAGCCTTGATTATTTTTTACGAGATTTTCTCTTCGACAAGAGTCATGTCGACTCTTTTTCGTATATATTTAGAATTTATTTGGAATATTTTATAAATAATTTTTTAATCATACTTTATAAAATATAAGATAAGTAGGTGAGTAGAGTTTTATCTGAAGTTACACAAAATATGTTTATAAATACTTACCAACGTGATTCCAAGCAAATTCTTTAATGAATCTTATATGCTCGTAGTTTTGATTGCAAATTACTTGGGTAGCTTTTGCCTATTTAAATTGCTTGGGACGATGGAGCCACGTGGAAGACGTCCCTCCCCACATATTGCAGCTGATAGAAAGAGACAAAATAGTAAGTGAAGAAGTGAACGGACTTGTTGGGTTGCTGGATCATAGTGATCTTGGTTGATGTTTTTTTTTTCTTTGGGCTTGAGCCCTCCCTCCCAACCAAAAAAACATCACCGTTCTTGGACCGACATGTAACATTCCATCAATTGCTGATAATTTGCTTTTGCTCAGTTAGTTTTGCAATGAAAATAGTCACATTTAATTATTTAGATGCTTCAACCCGCCAGCACAAATACAAAGCTCTTACTATCTCCGGACTTTTTTTTTTTCCCAAAGGAAACGAGTTATAGTTGAAATTTCTCATGTCCATATTTGAGTTAATATAATTTTTATCCCTCAAGTTTACTCTCATTTTAGTTTGAGTTCCTCAAATTTTAAATAATAGATTCTGGTCTCTCAAATTTCTTTTAATTTAAAATATTGGTCCCTGTAATTTAATAAAAACATAGACTATTTCGCCCCTAAAGGATCCAAAACGTATGATACGAAATTTAAAAGATTAAAACTAAAATGATGACAAATTTGAGGAACCAAAGATTATATTAACTCTCTATATATTTTGTAAAAACCATTTAGTCTGAGATAAGCCATGTTATTAAGGACTAATGAATAGTGTGTTCTTTTTCAAGGCTAATATAATATTTAGTCATTCAAGTCTGCTCTCATTTTGGCTTTGGTCTTTTAAATTTCAAATCATAAGTTTTAGTTCCTCAAAAAGTAAAATTATCCAAATTTCTATTGAATTATAGAAACAAATATTTTGATAGAAAAGAAACTTGAAAGATTAAAACCTAGAGTTGAAAGTTGAAAACAAAAAAAAAACCATCCCCCGATAAGGGAGTGACACACCAACTCCATTTTTTTTCCACTTTAAAGGGTAAAAACCTACAATTTCCTTTATGAAAGTTAAATTAAGAGATTCTTAGCATTACAATAAGAATGGTATATAAATTTGAAAAAAAAAACAATAAAATACCCGAGAAATTGCTAAAGGATAAATCAATGTGGGTGAATTTCAAAATTCTAATTCAAACCCTTTGTATCATCTTAGAATTTTCAAATCTTGTAAAATTACACAAACACCCTTTACTATTTTTTTTCTTTTTTTTTTTAAATATTGCCACCTCAGCACTTCCCCTCACTAGAGCTTTGGCGCCGGCAACCTAGCAACTCTAGTGACTGATCACTGCAACTCTGGTAACTATATTTTTTTTAGTTATTGATTACATTTGTCTTTAGAACTATGATGGCTACTCTTGTTTAGCTACTAACTATTCTAGTATTGCCATTGATTACCTTTATTTTTAAGATTTTAGTGACTACTCTTGTTTAACTATTGACTATTCTAATTTTGTTATTGATTACTTTTGTTTCAAAAATTCAAAAAGCGCATTAAGTGTTGTTGAAAATCTAGTAACTATTTTTATTTAGTTTTTTTTTTTTTGAATTGATATTTAGTTATTTTCTACTCTTATGTAGGTAATAACTATATAAAAGTAGTCACTGGAACTTTGAAAACAAAAGTAGTCAATAGTTAAACTAGAATAGCTAATAGTTATATGAGAGTAGTTACTGAGAATAAAGACAGCGTTGTCGTTCCATAATATTTGAAAATTTTAAAATAGTATAAGAGGTTTTATTTGGGATTTTAAAATTTATTTATCCTAATTTATCTTTTAACATTTTTAAGGATATTTTAATGTCTTTTCTTCAATAAATTTTGCGAAAAGCGATATAATTTTTCTTCTGTTCTTGGTACCTTGTACCTGTTTTTTTAACCAGCATTAGTACCTTGTACCTTTCCGAGCATTTCTACTTTCTCATTAAATCATTCTAACAAACAAAAAGCCGTGCGTTACACTGACTAAATTAAATACTCAGTAATAAAGTGAAAGAGTTTAGCCGCATGTGAAAATGAAAGCACACCAAGCTTCATTAATTTCTATTGAGAACTTCTTCTATAGTATGTTTAACCCATCCATCGTTCTCATCTTCTGGCTTTAGCGTACTGCTTCTTCTTCTGACAATCCTTACGGATCAGAATCAGAAGCTGTAAAACATTCTCTCTTCCCCCCCCCCTCCTCAAATCATGTGAGAGAAATGAGATGGGTTTTTTGCAACATTTATGAAGCTTTAATTCGTACTAGACCCTGTGGCATGATGATTTCCAACTTTGGAAAACTTGTTTTTTGGGAGAATTACATTCAAGTCCCACACAAGAGAAATAATCACTACAAAGTCCCAAGTAACAACCTGAACAGCCTGAAATAACAAGTCCTACAGTGAAAATGACAACCTCTGGGACTTGTTTTTTAATTACTTGGGACCTCATTGTAATTCTCCCTTGTTTTTTCCCCCAAGAAAAGTTTGTTTTGAACGTGCCTTCATTATCTCATTCTCAAATCTCCAATCAAGAAGCTTACCTACTTTTGCTTTTCTGTGTTAAGCATGTGATGCTTATCTTTCTAGTGATACTTTTCATGAGAAAATTTGTTCGAGTACTGTTAGCTATTAAATATAGGTATTTTCGTTGATGTTGATTTGAATTTTTTTAATAATTATTTCTTTTTATTGAAACTTAATTGTAATTCTCTTTTTATTTTTTTGAGAACATGCATCTAGCGAGGTTACAGTATCAAGCTCGCTGGAAAAAAGCTCTTAGTGACTTAGTTTTCTCTCTCTTGGTAACTGTGCCAAGGACTTGCGTGATATGGAAGACACAGGTCAACGCAAAAACCCACCAGACCGGCCGGCGGACTCTACCGGAGACGTTCGGACCAAGAAGAAGAAAGTAGAAGGAGCAACCGAAGCAATTATGGATGATAACATGGATGAAAAAGAACCAGAACAAGAGGGTGATCAGGAGGATTTAGGGAAAAGGAAAAACCCAGCAGATCAGGGACGTGAAAAAGGCGAAAGTCATTCAAAAACCCCATCCTATAAGCAATCACTACTGGGGTTCAATGGAGTAGCCAATGGAGGATCCTACACGGAATCAGAAGAAATACATCTAGAAGAAGATGACATTTTTTGGAAGATGCCAGAGCCGACAGAGGAAGTCAAGAGATTGATGAGTATCTACCCGGTGGTTCCAATCTCAGAAGAAGAGTATAATGAATGGTGTAAGTCGTGGAATTTTTCTCTGATAATCACTGTGCTAGGAAGAAGATATAATCTGTATAATCTGAAAAGCCATCTCTCAAGATTGTGGGGAATCTCAAACTTTAACCTGATAGACCTGCCCAATAATTACTTTATGGTAAAATTCACAAACCCGGAGTTCTGGAAGGCGCACTACAGACGAGTTCTATATGGGGGACCATGGGTCATTGCTCAACACTGTGTTATGGTGCAGAGATGGACACCATACTTCGATCCTTTCAAGAACCCTCTGGGTCGGATAGTAACATGGATTAGAATTCCTCACATCCCTATGCATTGCTACAATAGTCATTGTATAGCAAGACTGGGAGAAAGAGTG